TTTACTAACCTTCAAATACAAAATACAAATATTTAGCTTCATATGAAAATGCATGCCCCTTTTTATACCTATTAATTTGTAAAGTTGTGGCGATGTGACCTCCTTACATCGTCATCTTTTTATCGCCTTTTCTCCGGTTCCTGGCCACTCGTTTTAAATCTGAATCGTTCTTCAATTTCTTTGGCACGCCATTCTGATTTTGTTTCGTAACGAAATCCCCGATCGCGGTAGCGAGCACGTCATCTCGTCGAATTTTTGATCCGTTTACCAGTTACCAAAAATCTCAAAATCACAAAACAATTTTAAAATATTTTTTATAAAGCCTGATTTATTTCCATTATTTCTTTTGAATTTTGAACTTTAAACTCGCTAAGCAAGAAGTGTGGAGGCTGCGGAGTCTACTACACTCTCCAGGCTACATTACTAAATTAACAGGACTCGCCTGCAGTGCGTGACACGCGTTTCAAAGTACATGTTTCAATAAAAAGATGTATCAAGATTGTTTACATTTAGTTAAGTACCTAAACAAATGGACTATAGTGAGAGGTATAGCTATTAAAAACTCACAAATAGTAACCTAGATATTAATTAAAGTTTAAGCCACAGTGTAACCACTGCTTTCGATACTAAATACATTTTGTATGTTATTTCCTTTACTAAATGCAATGTGAATAATTTATAAAAAAATGTCCTCATCAACGAGGTCATTCAGAAAAAAAAATCATAAACATGAAATTTAAAAAAATGCAAGCTTTTATGTCACAGATGGTCAATGACAGCTGACGATTATACGGGTATGACATGAAATAATAACAACAATACACCACACAATATAGCAACAATAAACTATCCTATTACATGAAAGGTAATCACAACATGTGTGACAAATTGTATTTACAGTCACTCACAAAGAAAAAGCAATGTAACGTATCGAATAACGAACCGAGTGCTAACGTTCTTGCGTGGTCCACATACTCTACTTGTGTATTAATTTGGCGGAGTAGTGGAATAAACATCTTACAGCGAAGAGATAAGGGTCACATTGACGCAAAGTAAATATTGCGGAACATATGCGGGCGGTAGTGACGTTTGTAAATGGATGGATCGAATCAATAAATTATCGATACGGGTAAAATCAAAATGCGTACAATTTTGTTTTCGTAAGCAATAGAATTACGACGAACTTAAAAGTGACTAATAACAATATAAAAGACAACATTTCTAAACCAATATTGACAATCTTCCCACGTCATGTGAAAAACGATGTTAAAAATAATGAAAAATAAATAAATCTCCGGAATAATTGCCAACTAGAGCCTTCCTTCCAGGGTAATAAGTTTCATCATCAAGTCTCAACAGTGTTTGCTCTCTCTCAGAATCACAAGATTAAGGGTCGTATTCTAGAACTCTACTCAATGCTCAAGTCAGGATTGCAATTGAAACACAAGCACTGGAAATACGACCCTAATAGCAGGGACTTGAGTATGATTTCGAGTGCTTTAAACCATACTCAAATCCTAACTTGAGCATTGAGTAGAGTTCTAGAATACGATCCTAAGATTGGTTACAAATAACAAGTTGAGATAGTACAAAAATACTTTAGGTAGCGTTCGTTTAATTTTTCTGTAATACTAATAGAAGGATATATCGACTGTGAACTGGCAACTGGTAGTATTTCAATTTTATATATCATTTGGTTTATTAAATAAAAATTCGTGGTGTACATACTCCTATGTGTAATAAAAATATTTAAACACTACGCATTTTTATCTAATAAACCAGATGCTACATAAATGACGCAAACAATGTTTTGCTGTAAAGTTGTCAAAATGGAAAAGGTACCGATTGCAAGTGCACAATTGATATGTCTCCAGAATAATTATCAACTGGAACCTTTCTTTTATTAAACGTGAACTCTAATGACGCGTTGAAATCAATGTCAGAAACAACCATTTAATTAAATTCACAAAACAATGCACCGTTTTCCTTTCCTAGTTTCCTCGAGTCATTGGTGAGTAAACAATGTAACGTTTTTACGTGCCGCAAAAGGTTGAGGGTTAGGTCAACGCTTCACGCTGCAGTAAATTAGGTGCACACAGCTTTGGCCTTTCAGTCGTGGCCTCGCCGCGGACGGGGCGATACGTGTAATTGACAATACTAATACTGAAGTACAGGCGTTTTTTACATTTATATATAATAGTAAACCATTTTCAACAATGCTCTGGGGGTGTTAAAGCTAAGTCAATAATACATAGTCTAGTGTGTGATAAATAAAATTTTTGAAAATATCGATAAGTTTACCGAGTGCGTGCCATCACTAAAACGACCCCACTCGCTTGGCCGGCAGTCCCCTCACGTCGCGCTTCAGTGTTAGTCCAACCGCGTTGAGGGACGTGTCGAAATGCGGCTCCTAACACTATTTGCGGTGTTTACCGTCTCATTAGCTGTAGACCTTACTGCCGTCGATGAGGCGAGAGATAAGTTCTATTCCACGGAGGAAACATTGTGGAAGAACGTCATAGATCCAACGTGGCAAGGAAGGACAGCGTTAGGAGGGGACATCGAATTGACAAAGGCGTTCGTAGCCTTTAACGATGTAATCGAAAGTATTCCACGTCCACCTCAGCCACCTTTGCCGTCTTGGCTATGGAAGCAAACGTCTGAAAAATTAAATATTATTGATGGATTTTACAAGCACTTTGTGGAGTTTGTGAAACGGCAAACCGTGGCAGGGGCTGTTCCAGCGCCGGTCAAGGAGTGGTTGGATGTGGCGGAGCAAGTGTTGTTAGATACTACACCGTCATCTGTTGCGCAGGCAGTGAGGAAGCTTGATGATTTACTATCACACGGGGACATGTTCCGCACGGCGTTGCAGGTAATCAAAATCGGAAGCTATTCATTGCCTGCCGGACACGCGATTCGTGTGACTAATCGTCGTGTTTGGACATCGATGCATGATGATATTTGTGACAAAGGACCGAGATCCGTTAGCCGGTGTCAGTGACCCAGTGTTTATATTAAACATTATTCTGTTATGGCAACATTGCAGTTTTCGGAAATTCGGTTTGGTTCAACTTACATTTCTGTAATTGGAACTAGTTAAGAGGCACAGTGCCTGACGGTTAACGTAACAGTCCTTGTTATTTATTCATTAAAGCGCTACTCGTTGTTAATTAGTGTTCATTTAGATATGAGAACAAATTATTTGAATTGGAGCATCACAACAATGTGCGAAATATAAATACTAATCTATAAATATCATTTTAAAAACACGCATAGAGATTATACATTTAAAACAATAACTGATATTACTTAGGTGGGTGATCGAGTTGTATAATTTATTTAAATTATGCGCAAGTTTAGTTTGCACGTCAATAACAAACAATTACCAGTGCCTATAGCAAATAGAACATTAATGTAATAATAACATTCATTTATTTAATTGTTTATAGAAAACCAACGAGCTTCGTCACAAATAAAAAAAATACACACATACAGCATATTTCTCGGGCTTAGAGTTCGAGAAAAAATAACAAACACGCGCACATAAAGAAGACAATACATTACCTACGTCACTAGAGGCTGGAAACATTTTCCAAGAACACCTTATTCAGCAATATCGCCAGTAACAAGTGCCTACCGTTTATAGTTACATCTTCATTGTCGTCATAACAAAACAACATCGTAAAATGCAATAATGTTTTTAAAAGCAGTAAGACATTTGCGATATCGTTCGGGATTTAAAGGCTCAGTGACTGACCTAATAATATATTAGACTATATTACGTACGTTGCTCCGATCCCAAAGGAAGTAATTAAAGTACTTGCGTTATGGAAATCGGCAACAACGACGATACCAAAAACATTAAGACCCGGGACCTCAAAGATTGATGTGCAAGCCATTCGACCAAGGCGATCGTCATAAATTATTTCGTCGACCTAAATTATCTTTGTTTACACGACAACATTTGAATTTGATCTTTGTGTTATAAATTATAACAAACTAATGGAGTTATTACATAAAAATGTATGAATATCACTGTAGTAAGTCATCATGATATTCAATGAAACGTATATTTCAAAAACTGCCTTGTTTAAAAACAAAACTAACGGCAGTGCTATCCAAATAACGTTCAAAATACAAACATTTTAATATCACACTCAATAAATAAAAGTGACGGAGAGTACGATTTTTGAAAAAAAATACAAAATATTTTTAAAAAATACTCGTATTCGTAAATCTTTTGTCATTGTGGTTGTTGGCACGCACGTTTTGTAAATATCAATTACTGAAAATGAGGCTATTTAATTATTTATTTTAATATCAATGGCTTTATTTTGATCAATTTCATAATTTCATAATAATGTAAATAAATTTATATAGATATTTTTTTGTGAAATTACTCCACTAGTTTGTTATAATTATTAATACAAAGATCGAACACTCAGAAAAAATTCCTTCGATCCGGCCGGAATCGAACCGACGTCTTTTAGCAAACCGTGCCAGACGTTATGCCAACTAGCGACCTCACGAATTTTTCGATGTGCTTGTTAGTCGGATCGTTGTGTCTGGTTTTTAACGACTGTTTAGCCGTAGCGTGATCTATGAGAAATTTATGAAAGTATTTCGTCATTATTTAACCATATTACGGCAATATTAGATTTAAAAAAAAAAACCTAATTCCTAGACATTTTGATGTGTATAGTTTACATTATTATTGAAGGTGTGTTATGTAAATTTCGAGAACGAAAGTCTTACGGCCAGGGTTTTCGGTACCATGAAAAAGAAATTTTTATTTATGATGATTGTTTATGGAAGATGGATGGCCAATGTAAACCAATGTAAAACCAATGTAAACTATTCAATCATATATTGATTGTTACTATTGTTCCATCATACAATTATAATAAACAATACAAGGGAATTTCCAGACCTCTTCAAGATATTCATTTAGCACAAAGTGGAAGTGAATCAATACTAAATGGAATTCTCTTCCCCAGGACCATCAAGACCTGTGCGAGTTCCAGCTGTCCCAGCATCAATTGATCTATGATATGTACAATACCATATCGTTGACTGAGATCAAAGGCTATGCTATGATGCAGTTTTCTTGGATGCTCCTCAGGATTTATGGAAAAGGTTAGTTTCAAAGTCGATGTTTTTCAGGTATTAAAGGCCAGCCATCTTTATTTTTGAAACGACTATGGTTGTCACCATAGTGTTGGTGATAGTTTTAAGTCGATGGTTATAGTTTCGTGACAGATCATTGCGGTTACAATTACAGCTATAATTGAGGCTATCAGTGCTATAGTGGTATAACTCACATTAACTTTTGTTTCTACAATATTACTTTAAATTATTAGTACCTATCTAAAATATGAAAAAACATTTAATTATCGAATTTTCTTTATACATGAAAATAGCACTAAAAAATAATTAAATTATTTGTAATATTGTTAATAAGAAAATTGAATGTGAGATACACCACTACTGCGCTTATAGCCTCAATTATAATACGTTAAATGTCAAAATCTCTAACTCTAAACTCGTATATAATATATTATATGATTGAACATAAACTGAACTCGGGAATTCGTCATTTAGCACCTGTAATGCCAACCGCTGGGTCACCGTGATCGTCGAAATAGTGTAAATTTTAACGGCGAACTTATTACAATATGAAATACCAAAATTATAAACTTATCAAGTAACATTAACTACGAACTATACAGCGGCATAGTAGCTTCAGTAACTTTCTACTCGGAGTGGCCTTCACTCTACAAATTGGATAAATCCAGTATCATAAGTAACTGTCAATACGTACAGAAACTAAGCCAACAGTCCCATCACGTCTCATGCGTCATGTAAAATTATAGGCACCACGACAGCCGCTGTAAATGTAGGTTAACCTAACAGTAATTAGTTATACCTAGGTATCACTAAGGCGTAGTAAAGCATTCTTGCTTAAGGACATTAGTAATGTTATCATAAATTCTTGAGTTGTTGGGATTAATGAGGCATGATTCTGTTGCATGATGCATTATTTGCTTCTGCGTTATGAATAATTGTTGAAAGAGTGATTTTACTTCTTAGTTCATAGCCAGTTCTTTGACCTTTCTATAGCTGTTCACTTTGATCTTCTTTTTTATTTGTTCACTATACGACATTCTGGGTGTCCATTTCTATCTTTTCCCTTCTATCCTCCCCTCAATTATCACTCTCACAAATTTGTCAATACGCAACAAATTTCCAAACATTTTTCCCTTTCTCCTCTCTATTGCATTCAAAAGACTTGTCTCCTCCCCAACCCTTTCCAAAATTTCCTTAATTGATGTCTTTTCAATCCATTTTATTTTTCAATTCGCCTTGAGGCATTAGTTGCAAAATCCCATGTGCCTGTGATATCACCAGCACCTCCACCATTTTTAACCGGCTTTAACAAAAGGAGGAGGTTCTCAATTTGACAGTATTATTTTTATGTATGTTACGCGATAACTCCGGAATTTGTAAACCGATTTGGATGATTCTTTTTTGTTGGAGAGAGGGCACCTCAGTAATGGTCCCATTTAATATTTGAAGAAAATATGCCACCTCTAAGGGTGGCAAACTAGGTGATGAATGACTCTTTAGGTCGGTTTTTTTTATTGTAATATAATTTATTTATTCGGTTAACAAAACTGGATACAATTCAAGTATAAACTAAAAGTATTTCATTAACATAGTGATGTATAAGAATGTGCTCGATGTGAACACAACATGCCAAATAAAATAAGTGTATAAACATTAAATAAGCCGAAACGCAGTAATGTTCACAGTATTCCTTTTTTATCATATCAATTGACGCAAAGATCTTTGGGGCACTGCCATTGCGCCCGCCACCCTGAGACATAATAACTTCAAAAGAAGCTGAGCAAAGCTAGCGCAATCAAAATGGCTATACTTCTTTTATACTTTGGCATATTCTTAGAAAAATATCGACTTTTTCTTTTAAGTTAATTTATTTCTATTTAAAAGGGAACAAAGGTAAATTAATCTGTAATTAACTAGCATTGATACATTAATCTTTTCACAAAGAAAACCCTAAACTAGGGCAATAACTACATACTTACGAGTCCATAACTATTAATTGTTTAGCTATAAATCAGGGTTATGTAAACTAACTGTTGATTAAAAACCGTATTGCAGACGCATAACGAAATGTGAACATTCTTCGACATGCAAACTTAACGATGTTTCCTATATTAAAGAGTTAATAATATTGTCACTAGAGATGTGTTGACAGAAGATAACTATTCCGTAATGACATGAGTTGAAATCATTTATTCTTATGGCTCATTAATGACAACCAATTGCGATTGCCGTCACATTGAAAGATGATAACAATAAGCGATTACGTTTCGTTAAAGTCACATTGTTATCGTAGCTTATTTAAAATGGTGAATTTTGTTGCAACAATCGCATGACGATAAATTTTTGATAAATATTACACAGTCACTTACTCTCTTCTAATCCCAATAGTAGATTGTACAACAAGTGCGTATAACGCGCCTTTTGCCAGAGACGTGTATATCCGACGAGGTGGATACTTAAGTCGAGGCTAAAATGGGTTTTATGAACGAGTTATACACTCTACTTTTCACTTCGATTGCGAGGAAATTAAATTACAAATAAACGATTATTTCATTAAAAATTAGACATATTAAATGTGATGGTTTTTTATTTTATGCACTAGAGCATAAAATGCTATTTTATGCAGCCTACACCCAGCATAAATACGAACTTTAAGAGCATGAGAAGTGAAAAGTAAATTAAGCAGTAGAGCTCCTTGTGAAAGAGTTCGTCCAGGGAAGTACTGCCACCTTCCCTATTTCTGCCGCCAATCAGTAAGGTCAGCATTATTGTGTTCCGGTTCGGAAGGGTAAGATTGCTGGTGAACGTAAAGACACATGGGACTTGTCAACTTATGTCTCAGGGTAACGGGCGCAGTGGCACTGCCCCTAAGATCTTTGCGATAAAAAGCTCTAAGTGGCACTGCAACTGTTATGGATAGGCGAGTTGCTTACCACTAGGCGCACGACTTGTTCGTCACTTGGTATTTACAATAAGTAACTAAAGCTCTTGTGTTAAGGAAGTCGGAAACAACGACGATAGCACAAACACCCAGGTCCGAGACAATATACAAAAGTTTGTTTTCTACGTTAACCCAGCAGGGGATCGGACCCGGGACTCGGCCACGGAGTCGTCAAATTATATATCTATCAATTAGTTCAGTTTAGTAGCTAGCTAATAGTTTCTTGTGTAAGAGTTCGTCCAGGGAAGTACTGCCACCTTACCTATTTTTGCCGCCAAGCAGTAATGCTCTGGTTTGGAAGAAATTACAGGCACATGGGACTTGTCAATATATGTTATGTAACTTACTTGTAAATGGCTCACGGTGACGGGCTTAGTGGCAGTGCCCTTCAGATGTTTGCGATTTAAAGCATTGATTTGTTTTTTTTTTACTTTTTTTTTATAATACTAAGTGACGGCACGAACAAGTCGTGTACCTACTGGAAAGCGACACTTCTGTCTGTAACAGTTGCAGTGCCCCACTCAGAGCTTTCAATCAGAAAGTTCTGCTAGGCACTGCCACTGCGCCCGACACGCTGAGACGGAAGTTGACAAGTCCCATGTGCCTGTAATTTCACCAAAAGTTTCTGAGTGGCACTACAACTGTTCTAGACAGGCATGTCGCTTTCCAGGCCAATAACTTGTTCGTCCCGTCACTCGGAATCATAAAAAAAAATTTGTTTGCTACAGCGTCGGCATTAATGTTACATTTTCTTGCTGAATATGAAACCGTTCTCTGTAACTTTTGCATTGCAATGATAAGTGTCCGTTTACACTTCGTTGTGTTAGCTTGTTGTATCATGTTCAGGTGTTAACATATTTGAGCAGTGACCTAACCGGAGATGGTTATCGGAACGCGTTCCCGCAGTAGCAAACACTCGATACAAAGGAAATTTTATTTTTAATTTTTAATAGTCGTTCCGTGAGTTCCATATGTATTAGATCATTTAGATTCTTATTTTGAACTTCCCTTGTTACCCGACCATGTAACACTGTACAGCCTAAAGGGCTTAGTGGATTTTGATATGACGTGTTGTTAGATTCGTCTTGATTGTGGAAGTGTCATAGGCTATAAAAAAATAATCAAAATAGTGTGAAGAGGGTTAATTTTTTTTATCTTTCCAGCAAAATATTTTTGAAGTGGGGTTTTTTTCCCATTTTTGTTAGGTATTTATATTGTTACAATTTGTTCTTTATGGCAACCCCTTTCAATACTACACGTTGTGTTCTTAAAAAAGGCACGATACACATTAAATTCCGTCGTCTAATAACGGACAATTCTTCATTTTTTCTATCTTAATTCTTTAATAAATGTTGACTTAATCCACTTGAAATTTTTGTTGTAAAATTGATTACGACTGTGTTTTCTATTAGAAATAGTTTATAATTATTTGATGATTTCAGTGATCAATTAATATTGCGGGCCCTATACGAAGTTTTCGTTATTCTGGTACTAGTAATACCGGGAATCTCCAATTCTGAGGCCCAATAATTGTTATCTGACACCACACTTGTTAAGAGTCGATACTATCTTAGTTCGAATACAAATTTTTCCCTTACCAATATGGTTAATTTTGCTTGTGTCGAGCGGGACACGGGCTTTATTTCGAGAATTTATTTTTTACAAACGCAATTAAATCCATTTGAAAAATGTATACAGTGTTCTATCTATTTAGTTCAGTTGATATAAAAAAATCATTGGTATATGCAATGTACCTATTGAATACAGCGGTTTTCTTGTAAAATTTCGAGGTAAGTTCGTGTGCTATCGTGAAAATCTTTAGGAATCGTGTTTTCACACCCTATACTAATCAATGTACATACTCTATTTTACATTCAACACTTTCACTATTATGCGAATTCAACCAAAGCCTGGAACTCTTAACGTCCATGCAATAAGATTATTACAAGGATTTAAAACATTTTGTGACCCGCTTAATGCTTTTCCGTGTCGACAAGTGTGTGTGAGTGCTGACAAATTAAATTTCAAATACAATGCCCTTAACCTTTTGTTACGTAAAATGGACATATACGGTAATGAGCAGTTTTATATATGTAACCCTGAACTGATTTAGGTGTCTGGAGAATCGTTCGTGATCGTGATTGAAAACAATTCTTGGAATCGGTTTGCCGTCTTAGTAAACAGAATGTTGACGTAACAAAAAAATTACGTAGTTTTTACATTTGTTAGCCTATACTCGAGACTAATCGAAAAAAATGTTATAAATGGTATACATTATTTATTACTAAAAGTTTCATATTTAAAACATTGTTTTAGCTGCAATGAAGTTTTATAAAAACAACCCACGGGAGATTATTTCTATGGCCTACATTTATTTCTCCGTGAGTGTTTTGGGCATATTTTGTTGTTATATATTTGTGCGTTCATGCTACCCGCAAATCAGGGTTTCCCTAGTGCGGGGCTATAAGTGTGTGCGTAATTATGAAAAAATAAATGTATTTTCTTTCTTTTTCCTGAAGTCACTAACTAGTATACAGTTTTAATTATATTTCTACGCTTAAAATGTAATTTTAATTTCTAGGAAACTTTACCCAAGAAGCGAGTCTGACAAGACAGAGGTACACGGAAAGGACAGCCCAGACCGCGACAGCCGCTAGGTCTGCTTTGTTCATGGCCAAGAGAGATCTATATAGATGCGATCCGGCGATTCACCAAGAAGGTAAGCTCTTTTATACGATTTTAATGAGATCGAGATTGAATCTCATCATAAAAATTTCAATTTAAGGTTTTCTTAAATAATATAATAATATTCAATATATTATAATATTTCAAACAACATTAAACAGTTTGACGACTCCAAAACACACTCTGTTACATTATACAACCTTAATTTCAAAGATCAGATCGTAATGAACTTGTAATAACGCCTTAGGTTTATTACGTTACTTACATTCGCAGCTTAAAATTTAAATTTTTATAACGTGTAAATGACGACTGCACAATTTTCCAAATATCTTTCGTAAGTTAGTAAAATAAACAAAAGAAAAAATAAAGTAAAATTTTCAAGCGACGACAGTCAATTTATTCCAATTTTATTGCGCGCGTCGCGACTATCATGTGTAGCCATGCTAAGGGGGCTGGTTTCAGTTTTCTGGGTATTGCCCCAGAGTGAAACCCGTTGCTCTGATACTAATAATACAGGGAATTTCCTGATTTGAGGCCAGGTAATTGCTGTAGGTATCTAGCACTATTTCACCGCAATAGGTGATCATGAAGACAGTGTGGGTCGAACTAACTGGTATTATTTTTTTGTTTCCCTCATTTCAGCTTTTTTTTATCTAATACCAAGTGACGGGACGAACACTTCGTGCATCTGGTGGTAAGCGACACGCCTGTTCATAACAGGTGCAATGCCACTCAGAGCTTTAAATCACAAAGATTTGAGGGGCATTGCCACTGCGCATGTCACCCTGAGACATAAGTTGACAAGTAACATGTGCCAGTAATTTCACCAGGTTTATCCTTCAAAACCGGAACGCAGAAATAGGTAAAGTAGTACTACCCTGGACGAATTCTTTAACAAGGAGTTCTACCGCTACTAAAGTTTATTTGACTGGTTTTAACTTTTTGGGCCGAATGTCACTAATGAAATAGAAACTCAATCAGGATGAAAGAAAAAATTCTATATGACCGCAAAATATCAAAGGTTCAAGCCTTTCAAAAGTGACTTCTACTTCTTCCAGGAGAGACGTATGCACAAATAACACGCCTACTCCAAGGTTATATAGAAAACGAGGTCGATATGAACACAGAGGCCACGTGCCGGGACAACTGCGCGTATTACACACTAGCTGAGAGCCACGACTGCTTCAAAGACCAATATTGCTCGAAACAGAAGCGGTGCATGGGGCGGATCATTGACTGCAACTATATCGATTCAGACATGTGGGTTTGTCCTGCGGTAAGTATTATTTTATTGAAATTCATAATTAATTTAACTACAGTGCATCTCATTTATTAACTGCCTCAGTGGCCGAACATTTATTTCTCTCGTGAGTTTGGGTGTAATTTGTGGTTTGCTATGTGTGTGTCCATGGCACCCGTGACACTGGGTTTTCCCTAGTGCGGGGCTATTGAGTGTGTGCGTTATTATTATTGCCGAGGCCGGATTTGGGAGATTTCATTATAGTTCCTAAACTAAATAAAATATAGACGGCGTTGTAATTTTACTCGTCATACAAATGGATCGAGTATATAATATACTCGATGTACAAATGCATGCCCACTATTATTATGGCGCAGTCTATGGATAAACTAAATTCTAATCTTCCCCTTTTCTTGCTGAGTGCGTTTGAGCACTGCATCCCATTCGTATTCACTCCGAATGCGAGCATTTACAAATCTAGAAAACTCGGACGTCGCTTTCGGATGTCGCTTGTGCACTAAGTCCTATTCGAATCCCAGAAAATACGAATAACGCTTGTACTCCTACGAATAAAATGATCCTTGACATTTCGGACCGTCATTTCTCGGATTCGGAAATGGTACGAATCGGACGTAGTGCACAAATCGCACATGACAACTAACATAGTATTATCTCATAATGGCTTTAACTTATATTAATATTACGTATTTAGTTTCAAAGCGACAGAATTGTCTGTCACTTTGAAATTAAACCGTATACGAATGACTCATCAATATAGCGATATTTTTGAGAAAAATTATTAATATAACGCAACTTTGAGATAAAATATAACATGACGCCATTTTTGGGATATACAGATGCAATTTCGTTATGAATTAAAAAAGGATGCGACATTCAATTTGAGCGTTGTAAATATTTTTTAAATTGGCACAATTTTCAAACCTGGCATAGACACAAGTTTATTTAACCGACTTCAAAAAAGGAGGGGTTATCAATTTGACAGTATTATTTTTGTGTGAATGTTACGCGATTATTAGCGTGAGCATTACTGCGTTCCGGTTTTGAAGGGTAGGGGTGCTGGTGAAATTAGAGGCACGTGGGACCTGTCAACTTATGTCTCAGTGTGACGAGCGCAGTGGCAGAACCCCTCCGATCTTTGCGTTTTAGAGCTGTGAGGAACTGTTATGGACAGGTGTGTCGCTTACCACCAGGCTCACGGCTTGATCTACCCGTCACTTGATATTATAAAAAATCCTTTAGTACACGCTCGTCCGTGACTTGGCCTTTATTTTGGACGTCCTCAATTTGGTCGTGGCAAATTCGCCTTGGTCGTCCCTTACCAACCTGCCACCTCGCACTAATTTAAGTTTGTATTGTTTAATACAAAGAATTTGACATTGTCTACTGATGAAAAACTATAGCTATATGTAGGTACGGAAGTAAAACAACAATTATGTGATACAAGTTGGTGCTACTTTTTTGTTCATAAAAACAATGATAACCCGATAGTTACAGAGCACAATGTCCCCAAAAACACGCTAATTTATGACAGTTACGCACGCGAATTTTAAAAATAACTAATCAAGCGCGAAAGGCGGAAATGCTATTCCATTAATCCATTGCTATGTTTATGGTATTGGTGTTCTACAAATATAGTTGAATGGATTCAAATAACATGGCCATAACACCTAAAATATATTTTTTTAATTTTTAACTTTAAAAAAAAATGGTTTTTTTTTTCATTTAAAAATATTTCATTTCCTATGTCTAACAATCGCGAAAACCTAAGAACTCGATAAACTTTTTTAAGATAAAAATTTTTATACTTGTACCTTGAATTTAAATTTTGTCATTATTAGGTTTCATTATTTTCTTTCAATTGTAAAATTATATCTTTGTTGTCATTATGGGAGCATTTCTGAAGGAAAGTATTTATGATTCTCGCCTCACTCGTGGCCTTAACGATACATTTTGAATTAGTAAATGGGGGAGGAGGAACAATCCCTGGCAATGGCACGGCCGGCCAGGGTCAGGGACAGGTTCAACCAGCGAACGATACATTCCGTATAGATCCCTCAAGTGTTTAGCAAGATTGTTGCAAATAACCCGTTTGGGAATAAATTTAATTGAGATATATTTCAATGGAGGACACAATCCATATGTCAGTGGTCTCATGCGTGAGATAGAAACATTATTGTTAAAATAAATATTTTAATCAGATACCATATACGTGTAGTCTGTGGGAACTGTATCAAGCATACAATGCCATCCGCGTTCAATATAATGATGTATTTAGAGCCACGTTTAATTTGCCAAGAGACTGAAATCTGAAATGTTTTTTAGCACGTCCAGACGAGTTTGTTGCTGTGCATTATTAATACATTACTAATAGCACTACAGCTGCTACAGCTCGCAGTTGCGACTTGTCCATACTGCAACATTGGGTTTCAATTATTAATAATTAAGTATACGTATGTAAGAAGTTATATGTAATATTGCAATTCTATGGATTTGTTTGTCTGAAATAATTTTATAATTTTTATTATTATTAAATTTACAGAGCATGAGTAGCCATCGCCGATACGAGTGGATCGAATACGAGAATGGGCGCACTCTCGGGCAAGTGGGGCACTGCAGGCGCGGAACAACCAAGGTGAGAATGATTTCGTTAATCAGGATGTTAGCCCGAACGCAATTCTGCATTCGCATATTACAATGTTTTGAGTTTAGCTATTGAAAAATGTGTTCCTCTCCAGGCCTATTAACTATAGCAACTTTTTGTGTTACAACGGTTTTAAATGGGTAAAGTACCATGAAATTAAAACAAAAGATAATATAAAAAGTAGACAATATTATTTATATATAAAAAGCTATATTTCGTAAATATATTACACATTTTTTTTAGCATTGGACATAAGAGAATTTTGGGTCTTTTATCGGGTACCATTTCATTCCCTCATTTTGAAAGCAAAGCAATTCAATAAAAACCTTCACCTTCTTTGTAATTATTATGGTTTGTTCGTAGCATAATTAGCAACTTTTTTTATATAAAAAAGTAAGTGCGCATTTGACCTCCATTTCACCCGATGGAAAGTGATGATGGAGCTTGGACATCTAAACAATGCTTATTCACTCTCACTTTGAAAATACCCAAGTTACAGGGTTCGGGGAGTAAGTCTGCAGGCAGGGAATTCCACCCCTTAGCCGTTCGCCAAACAAATGCGGAAGCGGAATTTAATCTATTTGAAATACTTGTAATATAAAAAACTTAAAGATACAACAGAGATTTCAAACACTAAAACGAAACTTAAAAAAACATATGATCAGGTCATTTGTCATAAATTCTCACGATGTTTTCCTTTGATGTTGTCTGAAAAAACAGGTTTACACGATCACTGTTTGTTTGTTATAGCTTTTGTAATTAAAAAAAAAATCTAGGATGAGCGATGTAGTTTGTAGGAGGCCTCTGCTCTCGGGAGTAGACAGTTTCACTTTTGAAACTGTACTAAATATTTGTACCCGACGTATTTTCGTTATAGTTACATGTATAAAATGGTCAGACACACGATTAGCGGAATGTTTGCTTGCCCAGTTATAAAAAAATATAGATACGGTATTTAGTGAAACATAATCTATAAGTTCGACAACCCTTCCTTTTATGTACTGCGTAGATATATTTATTTATTTGGAACGGGTCCGGATTTGTACATAATATAATGGTAAGTTAAATGTGGACAAAACTCGCCCCCTGTAGTAGCCGTATTTAGTTATTTTAATTAAAAATCCAGACTATATCCCCACTATTTTTCCAGCTTATCTCATGCAATAGCGTTAGTCTTGGGGTCATCACATAAATACATTCAATATTTATAAACATTGCTTTTATAATAACTAAAAATTAAACCGTTTTGTTGACTTCATCGCAATTGTAACGATAACATTATTATGGGAATATGAACCTAATGATAAACAATAACAAAGAATGAGAAAAATATGACTAACTTGTATTCGATATGAAAAATTACCGTACGTTTTTTAAGATTTATTTTGTCAGTGACATACATACATATATGTATGGGCGTCTCATGGCTATGAGGGAAAGTACTTTAAATATTGTAGACAGGACATTTTGAAGACATTGCATTATTTTTAAAAGTAAGTGATATCGCACTATAGGACGTTCTATATAGCTGTTCGTAGAATAAGTAAGGAGAGCTGGTATTATTTGTTTTAATCAAAAAATTAAGTGCGCATTAGACTTCCATCTCACTTGATGGAAAGTGACGATGAGGTCGAACATGGAGAATGCACACCTAAATAATGTCTAGTTCATTTAAGAAATTCATAAACATAGAAAAAGCAAGACTGAAGTCTTGAGATTCTGCAGGTGGACTCGTGGTGGCGTTGGCTGTTCTGGCACTGTTCGTACTGCATGTGCCTCTGCGACGACGCAAGCTTCGACTCAGATCGCTACTTCAGTCTTTGGGACTCAACATCTGACGTCAGGAATAACAAGTTAGTCCCTGACGTTTGGGACATCCGCACACACTGTTTAAGCTTGATAGTGATTTCAAAGACTTAGTTCTGTTAGGGTTTTCGTGTCTTGCGACTGCTTTTTACTGCTAAATTGCAGGTTTAATGTATGGTTTATGAAATCCTGGTCCAAATGAAAGAATAAGACTTTTTAACATGCCATTTTCATTTGAAGGTCGACTCCTGGTGGAGATGGAATCTCCTCCATTGTTCCTACTGCATGTGCCTATGTGAGGACCAGGTCAACGAATCTGACCGCTTCTTCAGCATGAAAGAGATTGTAGCAGATATGTCCACGAACAAGTCAGTATAATGATATGACTGACCAGGGGGTCAGGATTTCGGAGACTATTAGAACTTCCTTGACCTCTTTGACATTCTTTTAGTTTAACACATAGACATAAAATCGACGATTAACTTTGCCTTTTACAAGCTTTTATTTTCTGCTTTAGGAGCTTTTATAAGGACTAACTTTTTGCATGACTTTGACAGGCAAGTGCAGTCCTGGGTCTTTGGCTGAAACTTGGTAGAATCTTCTAGAATTAGGCCTCATTTTATTCGGAACTTCTGTACATAACATAACTGTCGACTTGAATTGGGAGTTTTTACCGATTGTAACATTAAACAAATTTATTTGCGGGATATTTTAGGAACACCGATGTAATCTATTTGTAACAAGTAAATTACTGCATGGGTGTGCGGGTGTCCAGATTAATAATCAGTTACATTTATTCATATTATTAATTTATCTCATTGGAATTTCTCAGGGTTGTAACAGGAATTCGTCTAGTGAAAATGGGAAGAGTCTTCCATTTGCAGATTTCTGAAGGTACTCTTAAGGAAAGGGGGCATGTCACACCTGGTCGTTGGGTTCCTGTGCAGAAGTTCGACCCCAATGACAAGGACATCAAACAAGACGTCGACTACCATACTTTGACATACGAAAAGAGAGCAATAGATTTGGACGAACTGGATTCCCCTACTGGAAGCATAATGACTGGTGTCAGGTAATATTGACTTGCGCACGTTATCGCATAGATAAAAAATCAGGGTTTTTTTGTTGGGATTCATCGTTACGACACCAAATCAAATTTTGCTATTGGCACACTATGTATCCTGCTCCGATTACTTTTCCTATAACTCAAAGGTTGTCTGGAAGAGATCGCTCCTAGTGATAAGGCCGCCTTCGCCCACATTAGTTTTAAACTGTCTATGTACTGTTTTTGCTCCTGTGTGTTAGCAATAAAGCGTATATCTATAATAATAATAACGTACACACTCAACATAGCACCGCACTAGGGAAACCCTGTGTCGCGGGTGCCATGGACACACACGTAGACAACCACAAATTACACCCAAACTCACGAGAGAAATAAATGTAGGCCATACAAATATTTCTCCCGACCCGGGAATCGAACCTGGGACCTCTGCATGGCAGTCCAGCATGGTAACCGTTCGGCCATGGAGGCAGTTAAATTAAATATCTATATATCTATAAAAATAAAGCCAAAGGCAATTTATCAATGTAATTTGGTTTTTCAGACTCCGAATGCTCGGTCCTCACTTGCACTTCGAGATCAGATCCACGCCATTTAACTACACTACAGGCAGGTTAGCAGCCGATAGAAGCGTATGGATAAGCAATGATAACACTGATGGCGCACCTGAGAAGCCCAGGTGAACTTCTTTTTTAATTCAACTCTTCTTTAGTGCTCTTCACATCTATAGTCTGTCTTCTTTGAATACGAAGTAAAATGACAGTTAATTGCGTAAGTGTTGCCTACTTGCGAGCAACTAGCGATTGCAGTCGATTAATATTTTATCGACTATCGACTGAATATTGGTCATGCTTAAAGAATAAATAGCCGTATTTGTTTCATTTGAATTGTCACTTTTTGTAAGTTCATACATACTCCGTATTTAGAACTATGTTTCTAAAAAATACAAAGAGGAGACATATTTTAAAGTTTAATAGGTTTTTCATTTTAATACACTATATATAATCAAACCCGGCTATTCTTAAAAAATAAATAGGCCAACTGTCAAAATAGAAAAAAGGCAATAACGCAATTGGTAACCATTAGCATCGTAACATTCACAATGCAGTAATTTTTGGCAATTTTTTTTCTTTTTTCACAAATTATCGATGAAACTATCGACAACAACTACATAACTATTTAGAATTTGTAAAAACTGGTAACCCTACAAATGTCATTTTACTCCGTCTTCAAAATAGACAGGCTATAAATCCAATTACAATTTTATGTAAACGAGTTGCAACCAAAACAGAGCTTTCATTAGAGGTTAGAAGGTTTAGAGGTTATTATTTAGTGTACACTCTTATTACCTTAAATTAGCACTTATATTAGCTTGGTGCAGCAAGCGAACAGCTAGCCAGGTGAATACTGAAAATCAGCAATGCTGAGTTTTCTTGTCCACGTCACTCAATTGTTTTTTCTATTCGTTTTTTAAATATTGTGTTCTTTGTGTTCTTTATGTTTTGTGGAGAAATAAATACCTTATTATTTTTAACCGACTTCAAAAAAGGAGGTTCTCAATTCGACTGTATGTTTTTTTTTTGTATGTATGTTACGCGATAACTCCGATATTTGTGAACCGATTTTAATGATTCTTTTTTTGGTGGAAAGAGGGTAATTCCATAGTGGTCCCATTTTATTTTGAAGAAAACCAACCACCTCAAAAGGTGGCTGTTCACGCATGAAGATTCGTTTTTATAAATAGCGCCTGACTATAATTTAGGAGCAATTACTTTTAGCAATTATTTAGTTGATTTTGCTATTTCTCCGATTCAAGGCGTTTTTCTCTCGATATACTTTGAGTAGTGTCGTAGTGAGAACCTATTTTTATTATCTCCAGTATCAAGTCCTGTATAGTGGCGAACTAGGGGATATTTCAATGAAACTTAGCAAATAGATGTAATTCCACGTACGTTTGAGATCGGTTTTTTTAGTACTCTGTACTGAGATTATTATTCATTCCAAGGTATTAGAACTCAATTTGACTTAGAGAAGTTTTATAATAAACCACTCCGTTATATTTTCAGGAAGAAGCTAGAATTGTACAAGCCGGATATCCCAACGCGATACCGCAGCGTATCGTTGCCAGTGGACTCCAACCACGACCAGTACTTGGAGTTTACACATAGCGACTTTGAGGCTGATGCGGCTCAGAGCACTGTGCCTTTCATTGATATACAACCTGTACAGCCCATGAAGGGTGAGATTCGCTTTTTTTTAACAGGTTGCTGGTTTTTTGGCCTGCAAATCCAGTATGACAGAGACATGTGAAATTATGATAGCTACTATGACCGTTTTTTTGTTTACTAACTACAGTTCGGGACTGATTCTGTTGACACAATAATTTATTTCAGTAACTATCGGATAGTCTGTATTAATTATACGACGTAACTAGTTTCTGACTAGCTCAATCAGCCGGGACCGTATTAGGTCCCATGTCTGTAAAGAACCCAACACGTTGGTTTGTTAAAAAAAAACAACAAATATACGCGATTTAAATCCGAAAAAACATGTATGTATGTTTTTGGAAAGAGGCTATTGGTCCCATTTAAATTTGAAGAAATTATTCAACCTGTAAGTGTGTCAACTAGGGGATGAAAGCCGACTTCAATAAAATTTGGCAAATAGATATAATTCTACGAACTTTTGAGGTCAGTTTTTTTTTATAAAAAAGTTGTAATTTTCTCCGATACGTTTGTGTATAAATTGTTAAACACGCGATTAGGGTTCGTTGGACCTAATATTTTCTCGAGCATTACAGCCCTCGAGGAGAAGTATTAAAAAGATGTATGTATATGGGAATATCGGTAATTATTTCCAGGCGCGTCCCTACTAAGCGGCGCAGGCATAATCCACCGCGGCGTGACGGGCTCGGGCGGCTTCGTGGCCGTGAAAGTGTTGACGTACGACTACTCGCGCCACGTGCGCGCGGACCCCCCGCCAACGACCTTCGACGAGGACGGCGAAACGACAGAGTTCGTCCCTGTAGTCAACTAAGTAGTTCTAAACCATTTTTATACTCAATCTTTTGTAAGTTAAATATAAAATTTCGTAAATAAACATTTTTAAAGTACCTCGTTTGTTTCCATTGGACCTACCACGCTTCGTACCCAGAAAGAGATCACATATGGCATGATGTCACTTATTCCCGGGGACGAAGGTTTTCAATTTTCTTTTTTTTTCTTTCGTAAGCCGTAAACCAACACACTATGAACCCCGTTTTCTTGAAGTGTGACGTAACATATGGCGGGTAAAACTAGGACTCACCTGGACCCTGAGCGGGTGTACAGCCAGCAACGCAAGTAGATCAGCCGGTGGTAGAACGTCGGCGGCTTTGATGCCCATGCTGCGCACCCCGGCGCACAGGAACGCGGCCAAGTATCGGTGCAAGGGGAAGTGGAATGAGGCGTGCATTATTTCCGTCTGTTGAACAGAAGTTTCGCGTTCAGACTTTGACATAATAAAACAGACAGTCTATAAGATATGCTGTGGCCGAAGCATGGCAGCATATCAATGTTTGATAAACCTCCCCGCGACATATTTATTTCAATTGATAAAGCTATGTTGCCATTATTATTTTTTTTATGGAGAATACTGAATCGGTAAGATACCGCAGTACTTATTCCTTTATTTATTTATTTGGTAATTAACTATTGTTATACATTTTGAAGACCAAGGATAACGATATGAAATTGCGTATATTTGTCATTTAATCATCGCCGCGAAAACGACGGCACAAAAGGTTTTTGTAGTTTCAGTTTTTACATTATATTAGTTATTAATTACGTGTTTCTGATTACTATCATGTATTTAAAAAATGTTTTCTCACCTTCTTCTAATAATTTATATGTATCAATTTATTGGTTTTTATTATTTATTTTTATTTCGTTTGTCAGGCTCAATTTTTACGTTGACGAAATTGCTGTGCACAGCCGTCAAAATGTTTTAATATAGCTGTGACTATGCGGCCATGTTTGGCACGGCGGTAGGTATTCTTTTGCAACCATTGGGCGTGGCGCTCGCCATGTTAGCTATTGTGGTAAAGTTTTTAAATGGCGGTTTATCATTCCTGAGAAAGAAAGAAGAAATAAAGAAAATACATTTATTTGTTTACCACAATGACACCCACAAAAGACAAAAGACAAAAAAAAAGACATACGATATACATAGAACATATAGTAGCTTTATCGCGCCGGAATGCTACGAGGGCTAATTTGCCATTGTTTATAATAGGCTAAGTAAATTATAGAGGTGTAGACATACTAGTTTTACAGCTCGGAAATGTAAGAAAAACTTTATACCACAGGGTGTTGACCAACGATTCGGGGGGAAATATATCTTAACCTCACAAAATGGACCCCTTTAGGTAACCGAAAACGTGGAAGAGACTCACCCGCTCCATGTGCGGCGCGGTGAAGTGCACGGCGTCCAGCCAGTCCTGCAGGTAGGTGAGCGCGGCGGCGATGATGCGGCGCGCCAGCGGCGCGTGCGGCGGCTCCGTCAGGTGGCTCAGCACCGACCACATGGGGTAGGCCGCCGCCTCCAGCTCGCACGAGAACGCCGCGTAGTACGACGACGGCTCGAACTCGATGTGCCCGCCCACCTCGCGCACGTTCACGTTCATGCCTGCGACGGGAGGAGGAGCTGTGAATCGCTAAGGTTTGAGGGGCACTGCCACTTCGCCCGTCACCTTGAGACATAAATTGACAAGTTTCAAGTGACTGTAATTTCACCAACACCCTTAAGGACAACGCCCAAAACCGCAACACAGTAATGGTGACATTACCGCTGGCGGTACTTCACTGGACGAACTCTTTCACAAGGAACTGTACTGCTACTAACTGCCCTAAAGGTTTATCATAACTGAGTAAGTCTTCATCACCTTTCAACAGCGAACATCCTCTATTAATAGTCATATGTCAACCTGTTATATGAATATAACTCCAGTAGCTAGAACTAAAACTTCAACTCAAGATGTCAAGTGCTAAACCGATTTGATTGATGAATAAAAAAATTAAACAATAAAAACCCCACTCACCTTGCAACATACTCAAAAACTCGAACCACATATCGACCAAGGCGTCGTCCTGCAAGAACAGTAACGCGACTCGCTTATGCGACAGCACGTTATTAAAATCCGATACTAAAGGCCAATAGCAGTGTTCCTTCATTACTCTCTTCGTACAATCAATGACGTAATGAAAATTCTTATCACTGTCATGTAAAGTGTTTTGTACTAATATCTTCCCCATCATAAGTCGTAAAGATAACACCATAACGTGTAATAAGTGGAGCTGCTGTACACAGCGCAATGCCAAGGCCTCGTTGGAGAAAAGTTGGACGGACATGTGCACAACTCGGTTGGACAGCGTGTCGGGGTCTGCAGCTGCTTCCAGGACGAGTGGGATGCGAGCGTAGTGCATAACGAATGTGCGCGTTAAGTGTTCCTGGAATAGAAACCATAGTTGTTTAAAACTGTATATTGAGTATTCGGCTTTAATGACAACAATGATAGTACTCTAATCGAGACATCCGTAGAACAATAATGTATGTGCAAGACTTCTTGTTCTCAGGACATAAGTACATTTCGTTCGTTCTTCTTCGGATGTCAGACCGACCGTTTCGCTCGATTTTATATTTCCGAAATGAAATAAGACATATAAATTCTCAAAACACCTTAACGTAGGCCTTAGTTTGAATAAGGAAATTATTCTCGTAATGTACTTATTCTCTTTTCGCTATATAATCACACCGGACTCCATTCTTCGGATGAGTCGTAATGATAAAAGTTTGGGACTTATGTTACAAACATCGAGTATGTAACCAGAAATAGAGACGAAATGTCATTTAATTTGTTTGAAAACTATTCTGCCGTATCATTACTGTGGCAATTGCGCTCCGATTGGCCAGCCCGAATTCAAAACAATTGACGGGTGTAGTCAATTGTTTCACTTCAAATCGACCAGTTATCTTGAGCTTTGCTATAATGGACGAGAATTGCATATTTAATATTTAATTAGCGATGAAATGTGATTCCGTTTGTTTTTTAATTAGATGTTTTGCAGTTTTTCCCACACCGCCGAATGGAACAGCACGCCATTGTTAGAGATATTATCTTTATCACAATAAATACAGTATATTTTTGGAATATACGGAGACGTACACACAGGTCAGTTGTTGGCGCTGTACTATTTCAGCTTTCTAATTTGTAATTTCAGTGCAAACGAGAGTTGATATTTATAAGTGATATATATATCACTGATGAGTTACCTTGGAATGTATGGCCCCCATTTCGTCTCTGTTTCTGGTTATATACTCGATGGTTACAAATGAGACTATCAGAATAATCGTAACATAATTTTTTTTTCTACATTATTACTTGAAATTATTCTAAATGCTCCAACATAATTATTCCATATTTGGATGCTATTTTTAGGTATAAAAATGAGTTTGGGTGTAATTTGTGTTTGTCTATGTGTGTGTTCGTGGCACCCGCGATACAGGGTTTCCCCAGAGCGCGGCTATGAGTAGGTGCGTTATTATTATTGTTATTAGTTTATGGAAGGAGGTAATTCATTAAAAAGTGTTGTCTGTATTTTTACAGATTTTTAACTACGTCGCATACTTTTTTAACAAGTTGTTTACCTTGTAATCCTGGTCGGGCAACATGTTGAGCAAAAAGCAGACGATGTTCTGTGGAAACTCGTACTTGAACGTCCAAAATATGAACTCGTCGAGCAACGTGTTGTGTTGGAGCCGAGGCGCTAGTGCCGGCAGGTTACGATATCTGTAAATAACAAAGAGATGTCAATTCGATATCAAAGCGACAAACTGATTAGGAATTCCCGTGGCGGCTTGCGCAGGACCATAGTTCGTAAGTTACGTACGTACATACGTGAATGTTTAAAAGCAATACATCTCGCTGACATATATTTAAAAAATGCAGATTAAAAAAAAACAAATTCCTTACTTTCTCAAACTCGGACCTTAAAGCACAAAGTTACTGAAATGCAAAACATGGATTCTGTTGATAAATGGAATGTGTGCGATACAAATTTTGCAAGCTTATTTCACTTCACATTTCCTTCATACTTTTTTATTTTTTTTTGAAAATCATATTGTAGAAATTTGCGATACTTGACATAATATGTTCTGAATTAATAAATATTTTGTATTAAAATTGAATTATGTTTTTCGCATAGTGTAAACATAATAATGCACTTGACTGTAAAATTAATTTATAATCAAACTGAGAATTGCAAATATACAGTTAAATAATCTTCGTAGCCTTTTGATAAATTATCATGTAATATTAAATTTATGTATATTTATTATTATTATCGCTCTATTTATGTATTTTTATTATAATTTACGCATATTATTTGATTTATGTATATTTATTATTATTATCTTATAATCGCTTATTGCGATTGCTACACATCCGAAATAAAACCACTTTCTCGAATCCAAAATCATGTCTATTTGTTTTTTGTAACAACACACACTGGCATTTACCTATTCTTAAAGTAATGTATCCAAATTAACATCCTTGATAAGAAATTTAAAATAAATACAAAGTTTTAGCATGTCCTGAATAATCACTCTTTATGACATACGAGTTTGAGAAAGTAAGACCGATGTCTTACTTTCTGTAACTTCTTGCAATCCATCTGGGACGACCAAAGGGACGAACGTGACATTAGTGGAATAGCGTCATTGTATAGCGTCACGTTATTATATTAAAATTTTGAGAAAAATGCCATCGTGTGTATTTATTTAGAAAATGCATTTACATACAATTATTATTATGTAAAAAAATATATAAAATTAAAACACAAGAAATCATATTATACCACGCGAAAATTAGCGAAAATATTTATATTATTGCCTATTTTTTCTTTATTCTCTCTAATAAACAACAATTTATTACTGAAAATAGACATAGTCAATTATTTCTGTAGCGAGTGTGATAAGGAGGCATGCACTACGGTCAAAGATTATAAGTGCAGATATGAACATTGTAGGCAGTAAAGTCATCAATTGCCTGTGCTACATTTTCCTTCTTTGTATATTATTTGCTTTATACAAAATATGAATATTAATTGTAATCTTAAAATAATTTTTGTCATGTATTTAGAGCTAAAACTTTAACTTAACGTTAACTTAACTGACTTCGTGGCCGGACGGTTCCGGATTCGAGAAATATTTGTATTGCCTCGTGAGTTTGGGTGTCATTTGTGGTTATCTATCTTATGTTTTTGGCACCCGCGATACAGGGTTTCTCAGTGCGGAGCTAGGAGTGAATGCGTTATAAAAGAAATATTGTTTTAAGGTAGAAGATTTTATTTCACTTAGGGTGGATTTCACCAAAGTCGAATAAGTCTAAATTCTTACGCGAGTACTTAACGTCTTATTTTTGTTTAATAACAAAATAAATTTAGTTCTCTTTTTCCATTGTGTTTTACATTTTACCTACTCTTGGAAATGTTCATTCTGTTCCACAAAATCATAATCTATGTTCCATATTTCGAACGTGTTTTACTATGAACATAACATAACATGTATATAATAAGATCACTGGATGAAACCTGCACGACGAAGAACAACACTTGCCCAGCAGAGGGACTAAAAAAGTATAGATTAAGTCAATACTCACTCGTCAGGCGGTTCAGGCGCTGGGAAAGACTCTATGGCCCTGTCGTACATCTCGCGCGATTCCGCCATGTAGCATCCGTACGGCGTCTCCGGGTATGGGGGGTCCACCAGGTTGCGGTACATCTGCAAGTGAACAATATTTACGTTGACTATCATAGGTAGTTAGTTGTTACAACTAGCCCAATTGATATTTTAATAACCGACCTCAAAAGTCCGTGGAATTACATCTATTTGTATTTATATTTTATCCCCTACTTTGCTACCCTTAGAGGTGAACTATTTTCTTCAAATTTGAATGGGAGCAATACTGAGGTACCCCCTTTCCAACAAAAAAAGATCATCGCAATCGGTTCACAAATGCGTGAAATAACGCGTAACAAAAAAATACAGACGAATTGAGAGCCTCCTTTTTTTGAAGTCGGTTAAAAATGGTTTATAGAATAAAATATTATCTTCTCTGACAACCTAGTGACGTCACATGATTTTTTTTTTTGGAATCAGTTGAACAACATGTTAACAGGCTTACATCTGTGGCTTGGTAGAAGAAGTGTGTAAGTAATTAAGCCACGGATATATGACTCGGATATTCTACAGGATATGTCACTGAAAGAGTGCGATGAAATTCCTCCTTCCACCTTCGGGAGACCATGTAAGCAGGGGTTCCACCTCTATGCTGTGGATATTCCAAGGATTCGCACCAAGCGTTACGCTTCCACATTTATATGGCGAACCCCCCATTCCCTGAAGGCTGTAACTTGGATCTTTTCTAGAGTGAATAGGCATGTTTTAAATTTGCAGGCTCCATCGTCACGTTCCTTCAGGTGAGATGGAGGTCAAATGCGCACTTACTTTTTTTTATAAAAAAAGAAACGCAGCTATTTGCGGAGTAGCAAAATAATTTGTATCTATTTTTATTTTAAAATGGTTGTAATACTTCAGGAACAGAAGCGAGTGTGGGCACAATAACTCAGGAAAGTTTTTTATCCCTATCGAATGAATAATAATGGAACGCATATAAGACAAACAAACATACATTCATTTATATATATCGCTACCTTTCAAGAATTCTGGCGTGAATCAAAATAGTTACGGTTAAATAAACATAGAACAAAATTGGTTAGATATCCTTGGGGACAGTGCAAAGATGCGTATGTAGCATTGGTAAAAAAGCGCGTATCTTCACGTGAAAAATTTTTACAGGAGTGAGTTGTGTGTTTATTTATTTATTTATTCATTCATTCTCATTGTAAACTTACAGCTAAAAAGCCGACACGTTTACATGTCATAAACAATAATTATAAATATATTTAATTATGATATTACTATAACTATTCTAATTCTAAAAATTTACAAGTCTCCCTACATATATATTCAACTCTATCAGCGAATGTGTCAATGTGACCACACTGAGTGAGTATGTCCCCGATCAGTTGAATAGCGCGAATGGTAGGCGCGTTCGCGACATGTACCGTACGAGTGATGGGCTTGCGTAAGGGCCGCGGCGACGCGAGGCCACCGCACCCTCATCACCGCAAGGTATACGCGTGGGTACCAGCAGATAAATCTTAGACATTATACCAATATGCGCCTTATGATGGAACGCGGACATGTATTGAGCCAGAAGAAGCATCCTTCGCCTAGAGACAAAGTGTCTAAGTCCACCACGCCCGCAACAAAGTGCGAAGGATACAAGTATGGGTAATACCGGTACTGCCGTCTATAGAGTCAACGTACAAATTTTCGTTGAATTCGTACAAACACGACAGAATATTTGTATTACAAACTTTTGAGGTAGGTATTTTTTTTTTATAAAAAAGTTATAATTATTGTTTAAACCATCTTCTTGATGAATTAGGTACTTTTGAGATAGGACTATTCTAGAAAACTATCGATATATATATAGATTTAGTATGTAGCTCTATATTTTTTTGTTTCTTCACCCAAAGTACACGCATTAGATTCTGTTTCGCCCAGGCGGATAATGGCTTTTTATGGAGCTTTAAGAATTTACCTGTGGATTGATGAGCGCCTTGGTCATAGCGCCTCTCATCAGGTCACCCATGTTGTTGAACTCCATCAGCATCTGAACGAAACCCTCGCACTCGTGAACTGCTACGCGATACATGTTTGACGGTGACGCTTGCGGACTCGTGCTGGAATTAGGAAAACAAGATGCTATTTAACCTTATATAATATATAGGTCCAGAACTGTTTTTATTTTATGTTTTTCGTTTCTTTATTTTTCACAAAATTATCATAATTTTTATATCAAAGAATCATTTATTACTTAGGTAAAACAAATTTACACTTGCAAACGTCACATTTAAGATACTGCTAATTCACTACGCTGACTTCCCTGAGAAGAATGAGCAAGAAACTCTAGGGATTGCTCTTTTCAACTAAACTTGAATGCTATGAAATTAAGTACCAGTAGAGCTCCGTGTGAAAGAGTTCGTCCAGGGTAGTACTACCACCTTACTTATTACTGCCGCCAAGCAGTAATGTCAGCGTTACTGTGTTCCGGTTTTGAAGGATAAGGGTGCTTTACAAAAAAAATACCCTTTGACTGAAATTTATATGGAATCTAGACTCATGTTGTCTTTCCATACATCTTTATCTAACACGTAGTCTTCAATTTTCTAAAAGCTATTTCAATAAAAATATTTTTAATAATTACTAATACAAAGATTGAACACTCAGAAAAAATTCTTTCGATCCGGTCGGATACGAACCGACGTCTTCTTGCATACCGTGCCAGACGCTATACCAACTAAGCCACGGAACAAACCAACGGACCTCACGAATTTTTCTATGTGCTTGCGTCGTGTCTTTGTACTTGGTCTTTCAACGACTTTTTAGTCGTAGCGCCATCTATGAGAAATCTATGACAGATTTATCACCCAGTTAGTACCTTTACAGCTACCAGTCCTGGCGTGAGATGTCGCTATTCACTGTATTAATTAAATTTTTATTGAATTGATATTCAATTATTTTTTGTGAAATTACTCCACTAGTTTGTTATAATTATTAATACAAAGATCGAACACTCAGAAAAAAACTCTTAATATATAATCCGGAATCATTGCAAAAATATATACAGTTCCCCATAAAAGTCGTTTGCCTTGGTTAAACGAAATCGTGGCACCCCGAGTTTGGACGTCTCGTTAAATTAGTAATTTAGTCTTCAAATTCAATATGTATGTATTAGTATACTACACCAACGAAGTGCCATCGACTCGCCATTGCAGAGCAAAATACAAAAAAATTGCAATGTCAGTTCTGCCGTCCACTACCTACAACGCGACTAAGTGACAAATGGTCAAATTCGGTTTTAAACAGCACAAGATAGAGCACAAAATTATCTTTTAAAAACAGTTAAAATTAGCTAACGAGTTTGACTTATCGAAACTTACTCTAACGATGCAAAGCTTATTAAACAATTTAAATATTTTAAAAGTGGGTTAGAAATTTTTCTTAACTTTTAGCAGAATACCAAACATACAAAATCCTGTCATTGACATTCGATCGGATACACAACTGAGTTCATTTAAAACTAGAAATCTTGGGGCCCTGGCCTTAAACAGCATAAAAAAGTTACGGGTTTTTTACAAGTTATTCACCAGAGACGATAATTTATTATTGACGCGGTATTCTTAACTACGTTCTATTACCCTAGGGGGACAGGTCGCCGCTTTTAGATTAAAAACTTATTTATTCCCAATTATAGTTAGTGGCACGAGTCACGGCTTACGTCAGAATATTTTTTTAGAGAACGTGTGTTACTACACAATGCCAATAAAGTTAGTTTTTTAAAGCTTTCCAAGAGCGACTTAAAGCGCGAGATACTGCTGTAGGGCTAGCACGAACAAGGGCGACATCGTTATCGTGCTAGCGCTACTGTTCTCGTGTAAATCGCGCCTTATCGTGTTAGTAATACCTTGCCTTACTGTAATAGTGTTGCATTGTCAGCGTCCAAATTATAAAACACCTCTGTCAAAACCCTGTCTCTATACCCTCACCTGTTCTCTCGAAAGTGTTGTAGCAGCCTCAATATGAGCCTCGGCATCATGGCTTCGGCAACGCACATGAGCTCGGCGGGCGCTGTGCCCGGTCGTGGACACTTGTTGCCGTGACTACTGCAGAACCTGAAAACAATAAAGGAAACATATTGGTGGTGCTTTCTGCTGGCAAACGTCGAAAAACATGGCTTTACCAAGATCAAAAGGCAATAAAATGTTAATAAATAATTAATTTCCATTTTATTGACTGCTTCCGTGGCCGAACGGTTACTATGGTGGGCCATCACATAGGAGTCCCGGGTTTGATTCCCGAGCCGGGAGAAATACTTGTATGGCGGACATTTATTTCTCTCGTGAGTTTTGGTGTAATTTGTGGTCATTGCGTGTGTCCATGGCAATCGCGCCACAGGTTCTCCCTAGTGCGTGGCTATGTTGAGTGCATGCGTTATTATTTAGATGTGCATGCATCATCGACTACTTCATCGTCATTTACTTTTTTATTATATTTTAAAAAAATATTCCAGGAAATTCACTGTTCATAGTTGAAGAAATATTATTTGCACCGATGAATGTTATCTCTTCAAACGTTATCCTTTCTATTGCATTACAATAGGGTAATAAAACTATTAACACTTCTTTTAGTTAAAACGAACATGGACTTAATGATCTTGTCCATTGTAATGTGCGTTATATAAAAATGAAACAAACAACCCCTTACACACACACACTCCCAAACACACCTACCTACCTACACAAAAACACGCACGACTGTTATAAACGTTCCCTTAGTTATTTTTAATTATAGTTTAAAACTTTTACATCACATTT